GGGGGGGGGGGTGGGGGTGGGAGGATCTCATCTAGCAGTGGATTAACAATGGCGGTACACGGCACGTTCCGTACAATTGTGCGCCAAAGAATGTCAGTTGCGGCGTGTCGCCAGCCATCGAAGAGGCGAGGATCTTGTTTGAAAGTTCATTCATTGGTACGCCGCACATGTAGATGATCGGCAGATCGCGCGTGGTGGGGGAGGGGGGTATAGTGTGGGGGAAGGGGGATCTTGCGGCGTGGTGTCAGAGCGGCCCTCTAGAGCTTGATAGAATTTAGTAAAACAAAAAAACCACTCAAGATTGCAAGAGTCGCAACGATAAATAACGGTCACGAAGCAAATCTTGACTTAAAGCTTTCATGACTGCAGGAATTAATATTCTTTGGGTCTTTCGGTAAAGTCACGTAGATCGTCATCGCTTGTTGCGATCGAAACGTAGTATTTTTAATAAAATGTTTGAACCTATCTACGTGACTTTACCGAAAGACCCGAAGAATATGTCACGAAGCAGTTATTGAAGAGGTCGCACGCGGCTTCGGAGCCACCAGGCTGCCGACCCCTGCTCCTCCAGTTGGATGGGTGGCCTTTGTCTCGCAGCAGTGGCGTGAGCAACGCAATTGCAGGGGCTGCACCTTTGCCTTGTTCATCTTTAACATTCATCGGAACCAACTGCGGAGGTGCTGGCTGGGAGGGAAAGGGGGGGTAATGTTTGGCCGAATGAGGACCTAATCATCACTTAATTATTGATCCGTGGGGGGAGGGGAGGGAGGGGGTGATGTGGTGCTCGCCTATTCGCTGGGCGTGTTTGTCCTCAGATTGAGCCGGCGTCCCACTTCACCGCATTCGCCATCGCTCCACGTCAAACAATTACCGCCCCGTGCTGAGCAGCGCTGTTTCGGATCGCTACTGCTGCCGCCGCTGTCCAATCAACTAATTCGCGTCGCAATCGATGATACGTAGCCGCCATCTCCCGACGACGAGACGCACTTTATTTTATTCAGAAAGTTGGGTGAAGGGTGGTTGGATGGTCTTATAACCCGGCATGTGCCGTGCCGGCCTTAATGGGTGCTCGCTGGCAGCACTTGCCCTCATCGCCTGTGTAGGCTACACGGGGGTTCTTTGTCTTTGTTCGTAGGGTGATGATATTATTCGCTAACAGAATTTGCCGCAACAGTCTGTTAAAGGCTATACGGGGGATCTTTATATTTGCCTTTGTTCGTGTAGGTGCTACTCGCAAGCAGGACTTTCCCCAACAGTCTGTTCAAGTCCATATATAGAAAAATATATTTATACATATTTATCCCTGTGTGAGCACAACCATGAATAGTTGACACGGGGAACAAGTCGGGGGAGGGGGGGGGCGCGTCTTACTTTCCGGCGCGTACCACGATCCCGAGACGATCGCGCTCCACGTGTGCGGCCACACGAAGCTCGATGTGGCTGAACGCCTGTTTGGAGTGCGAGGTTCCAGTGCCTGCCTGCTCCGAGATCAAAAGCTGGAGTTTCATCGGCGTTGGGGTAGCCCCCCCCCCTCCCCATCCATCCAACAGTGGATCGACCAAGGTCTACTAAACATTATTATTATTGAGTTAATAGTAATGGGACGCCCCCCCCTCTCCCCCTGCCTTTGTGTCATTCAGTTGAGTTTAATTTGCTATTTTATGGCCCCCCACAGAGGGGGCACTTTGGGGGGGGGAGGGTGGTGGGTGGCCACTGGCAACCATCTCTCTTCTGGGAATTTGTAAGAATTAAGTAAAAAGTTCGTTCCATTTATAACGTAACTGAACGGTCGTTGATCTATTCATTTGAGTGTGACTCACTGTTGATCACGGTAAACAACACAATTAAAACGAAATCGCAATTTGCGTGTGTGTACTTGCCTGAGGCATTATTCAAGTTCAGAATTTGAATCTTTATTTACCCTGGAGAAAATCGACGAGCTATGAAGCTCTTTGCTTTTACAGACATCCAGTTCGTTGCCTCCTTTAAGAAAAAAACGGGTCATTGCGCAAAACGGTCCACTCTAGTATGTATGCATGTTGAACTTCTTTCGCACCGTACGTAGCCAGCCGCGTTAATCGGAGGTGCAGAAGTAAGGACAACAAACCAAACACAACACAACGCTATTAAACATCACAACCCTCCACGCGTTTCATTTTCGTCACTACATAGCGAGCTCTGCATTTAATAATCACACGGCACACACAATCATTAAGCCAAACGCGTGACGCCTGAAACAGCGTTGAACGCATTTATTTATATTTATTACACGTTTTTGTCGTCTATATATGTAGAAAATGTATTCATAAATAAGTACGCGTCAATTAACGTACACTCCTCTCTCACCCAGCAACGGCAGTCACGTGGGGCGTAATTAACGTGATGGATGCCTTTTGTTAATCGACATCTAATGCAAGGTATATTCAAGAAGAACACATTCCTGGACGCATTAAGTAAATTAGAAGTGAGCTCGCTGGGAGAATAATGGGGGCGGGAGACCTCATCAATTCCAACGTCGTGGAAAATGGGCGACATGCAACCGTCCATAGTTTTTGTTGCCTTGCACAGAGAGCGTCTCGATAGCTTTCTGGAGTGTGCTTACCAAGAGCATGCGGACAAAATCCAGCAGCGTTTGCCTAACAATACCGACTGCCGGTGAGGCCTCGAACGTGGTAAAACTGGCACGGAGTTTTGCTCGTTTGAACAAACGCTGCCGGATTAATATCGGCCCAGAGAAGCCGATATTGGCCGATGGACGAACACATTTAGATATGTGTTTTCTTACTTGTGGACTCACAGAATGGAGTTCCGCATATACAGTACATGGCTTTTAATTGGGGTGTCGTGAATAATCCATGCTTTCATTGATATTGACGGTAAACAATGTGATGTAATAATCGATTGTTCGCGTCTCGTGTGTATATATTGACTTCAAGCAAACAATATACACACATAAAGAAAAAGTGTGTATATTGTTTGCATTGCTATTGTCTCATGTGTTCGTTATGCTATATTGCTTACAGTTTTGCATGCATCAACAAAAATCCTTGATTTTCGGACAGCCGCAGACGGAGCGTCATGTATAGCGGCCCTTCATGATCGATGGTATTCGATTAATTGATGCAATGCTACATCACCATAACTGATGCAAAAAGACAAAGATCCCCCGTATAGCCTTAGCAAACTGTTTTGGCAAGTGCTGTTAGTGAGTAGCAGCGATGAAGGTCGGCAAGGTACACGAGCGTGTGGGGTGGCCATCTCCACGCCCGACCGCCTTTGTCTCTCCATTGGCGATGTTTACACAGCACACCAGGTACTCATTTGAGGCTGATTCGAACTAGAGGAGGCTCATGACCTGTTCATATAATCATCACTGGAGTTGACTTTGAGCGAGAATTGAACTCGGGTGGCCAGGTTCGGAGCGCTGCATTGATAACCGCTGAGCCACCGCTCCCCACATCTGATGCAACGCACATACATACACAAACACCGATTATCCCGTTCGATTATGAAATGCCAAATCTCTCAACAGGTAGTCTTTTTTTCCTGAGTGCCTCCTGGGTATTCATACCTCGATATGACAGTGTAAGACATAACTTTACCTGCAAGTTGTGCAATGTTGCATTGGTTCATCAAGGCGCCGTGCATAGCATAGGGGCCGTCCATAAATGACGTCACGTGATTTTGGACGATTTTTGACCCCTCCCCCCCTTCGTCACACGGCGTCACAAAAAGTCAGACCCCCCCCCCCTCAAATATGACGTCACAAAGCTCTGCCCCCCCCCCCCCAAAAAAAATGCTTTAAATCGCTTTAAACTATTGTCTTTAGATCATCAGGCCTCCTTTGCCAGTACCAAAATGTAATAATAGGGTTTCCCCCTTTTTTCTGGCAACAAAACTGAAACCTTTTTTACAAGGATTCATGTCTGCATTAACCACAATACCTGCAGTCAAAATGCAAACAAAACACATACTCTGATAATATATGCATTGTCCTTGAAACTGATTGGTCCACACCAAGGGACGGCTTTCTTTTGAGCCTCGACTCAATTGGTGCTCGACCAGATGTACGCCTTTTGGCGTCAGATGTACGCCTTTTGGCGTCATCTGGTCGAACACCAATTGGGTCGAGGCTCAAAAGAAAGCCGTCCCTTGGTGTGGACCAATCCGTTTCAAGGACAATGCATATATTATCATAGTAAGTTTTTGTTTGCATTTTGACTGCAGGTGTTGTTAATGCAGACATGAATCCTCGTAAAAAGGTTTCAGTTTTGTTGCCAGAAAAAAGGGGAAAAAACCCTATTACTATTGTTATTGTAGTACGTATTTAATGTGGCGCTGCACTCCGATGTTGTAGGAGAAAACATTTATTAAAAAGTCTATTTAATTAAGTAGAACGTGTTGTCTATATTTCTTTAAAATTGTGCATTAGGATGTGACGTCACATTTATCAAACCCCTCCCCCTCGTAACACATCGTCACAAATGTCTGACCCCCCTCCCCTAGGTGCGTGACGTCATTTATGGACGGCCCCATAAGCGAACACGTGGCCGCCATGCTGAATTGGCTTGGGACGTTTCTCCCACCACTTTTAAGCTCCTTTCTTTTGAAAGGAGCTTACTTCAGTTTGACTGTCAGCGGTGCCTCTGGTTATTTACATCGAATCGTATCACGTGCTATTCATATTCTTGTGTACGGCAAAATGTTCGGGAGCTAAATGCCAATGTCGAGGACTGCGAACCATGACGAGAGGGCTCCAGGAGAGAGAGAGAGTTCGTGTAATTTTTCTGCTTCTTTGTTGAAGAAGTGCACCGCATTCATTGACTAACGGTGGTCCACAGTTTTGGCTTGCATGGCCACAATCGCACTTACCATGGCCTGCGTCTAAAATTTTCCATTTACGAAGGAGATGCGCGGCATCGGCCTGCTGATGTTCCGATGCGGTCGATGGTTACCCCACTGGTGTCACTGAGGGATGTCAAAGTCAGGAGATGCGACCATTTGGGTCTCGAATGAGGCGTTTTATTCTGGACGTCGGCGTGCCACCATCACGCAGCAATAACCTCGGCCTTCTAATTGCCGTGGTGCAAAATGGGAATCTTCAAATCGCGATTTCGTAAAATCTACACGTGCTCGCGATGTAAATTCCCACCAGTCACAGCTGGGAGCTCTAAAGCCCTCTGTTTGACATCAATCTTACAACTGTAGATAATGTGGGGATGAAGGTGATCGGGACAGATACATGCATGATATCCCCGACCAAATATACATTGTGCATGTAAAGTATCTCCCTGCCGCAGAAACTAAAATCTAACAAGACTTAGCAAGTTAATAATAGCGTTACCTAATAATATGGCTCTAAACCCGTTCATTGTATTCCATGTATGCGCAGCAGGCTACACCCTTTGCATTGGGTAATAAAAAAAAAATCTGCCGAGGAAAGAATATTGAACAAAAACAGAGACGTGCTCAACGGCAGCGGTGCACACGAATGGATTAACTTGGCTGCCCATTGCTCACCGTCGCGCAACGCAGCGACAAGCTGGGCGCCCGTTTCCCGTCGGCAGCAGCGTGTCAGCTCGGCGCTTTAGCAACCGAAATGACGATCGCTCCCCCGTTAACGCCCGCTGGCGGGTCGGGCACGTCACAAACGACCTTCTCACAAAACCTTGAGGTCGCGCGCCCATACCAGGCGTTGAAGCGTCACGCTCGTCTCTCTGCCACGCGCGTCACGCAGCGGCCTAGCTACTGGGTGAGCAGGCGGTGCAACTGCACCGAGGCCCACGGGCTAAACGGGTTGCCCAGATGCCAGGGCCCATGCTGGTGACGCTACTTCTCCACTCGCGTAATTTGACAAGTCTGTTGAAGTGGGTTTGCTGGTCCGCGTTCTCGCAATTGATTTTGAGAGGTGACCAAAGCGCTACACGAAGCGGACTTTAAAGACCACGGTGGCTTGAGGTTCAGGTTCACCCTGACCCAAGACCTCCTACCCCGTCACCTACCAACTCCGCGAGTCGTCACTATTTAGGGGTCATGATTCAACTCAATCACTCGGGGGGCATTGTTCTTTTCCGGCTCGGTTCGGACTCCTCGTCGTTTGCTTTCCATCGTTTGTACAGTTCAGTTCGCCCCCTTAAACATCGTCGCAATCCGTAAATAATCGATTCCCGCATGCCACCACTTCGATGCGCGCACGATAAGACAATTTTTGTTCGCCGACAAAGCGATGCACCGCCATCCACCCCAGTGAACGTGTCCTGCCCGTTACACGTCAAGTGAAAGCACTTTTTTTAAACATACGTAGTAGCACGAGCGAAATAAATAAATAACGAATGCTCCTCACCAACGCTGTCGCAGTGTGGCCCAGTTTAAAGGGAGCACAGACAACATATGCACGGGGTCATGATGCGCCCAACGGTCAAACAAACATTAAACAAATGTTAAATGCTAAACTGAATGAGTAACGGCATGGACTCTAACGTCTATCGTGCATTCCGCTCTGGCTCCCACCCGCTGTGTATACTATGGAAATGATGCCCATTGCTTCGTTGTACAGAGTATTTTTTGCGGCAATATTTATTGACTACGGCCATAAACGCATGAAGCAGGGTGGCCGAGCCTCCAGCAGGGGGGAGGGGCTTAGAACCCCCCCAGCCCCCCCCCCCCTACTGAGCCTCTAGCAGGGGGGGGTCAGAACCCTCCAGCCCCCACCCAACTACCCCCACGGGGCCATTCCTCACACGTAAACAAGTCTACGCAGGTTTACGCTTTAAAAAACAAAACAAAAAAGATGACAAATCTCAAATTAAAATCTGGCCTGGCAATATCGCAGTGTTATTGATAATCGTGATCGGCGTTTAGGTTGCGTGTGGCGAGCTAGGGCAGGTGGAACAGCGGCAGTGAGAGATCGGCTCGCAATCGGAAGTTTGCGAGTTCAAATCCCGGTTGGGGGGGGTGGGAGGTTGACTCAGCCCATCATCCCTCTGGGGTGGATACAATAAGTACCACTTTGTGATGAAGTCAACAGTGGTCGTCCTATGCATTGACTCGCCCTCCCGCGCCATAGGAATATGGAATTTCCACCACTGCTTCAGGACTGTGAACAGACGAGCGCCGCCTGGACGCTCCTTTGGGCAAGAAATCACTTTTATATATTTTTATATTATTTTTTTGTGGAAGGTTCAGAAGCCTCGAGGATGCCCGTTCGGAAAAAAAAGTTACAAATGCCACCTCTCACACGGCGGTCTCTCTGATCGCCGCAAAGCGAGCTTGCAGCTCCTGTACGATGGCCCTGTACCCACGCTCGGCGGGGCCTCGGAGTCATGCGCTGGACGATCCCGGGTCTCCAGCCACGTTGCCGTGGTTGTGGCCGGTGCCGCCGTTGTTGTTGTTGGGCTTCGACTCGGGGCGTTCGGCGAGGTGCGACGAGCCGGGCTTGAACACCAGGTTGCCGTCTTCGCGCCCGCCGCCCGCCTCCTCCATCTCCACGTACTTGGCGCCCAGCGATTGCTGGCGAGCGGGAGAGGCTCGGGAGAAGGCCTCCTTGAGGCGGCGCTTTATCTCGGGGTCGGGGCACAGCAGGTACTCGTAGGCGGCGCCGGCCAGCACGGCCCCGAGCATTGGGCCAATCCAGTACAGCTGCGCCGGGGACGGACGGACGGACGGACAGACGGACGGAGGGAGGGAGGGAGGGAGGGAGGGAGGGAGGGAGGGAGGGAGGGAGGGAGGGGAGGGAGGGAGGGAGGGAGGGAGGGAGGGAGGGAGGGAGGGAGGGAGGGAGGGAGGAGGGAGGGAGGGAGGGAGGGAGGGAGGGAGGGAGGGAGGGAGGGAGGGAGGGAGGGAGGGAGGGAGGGAGGGAGGGAGGGAGGGAGGGAGGGAGGGAGGGAGGGAGGGAGGGAGGGAGGGAGGGAGGGAGGGAGGGAGGGAGGGAGGGAGGGAGGGAGGGAGGGAGGGAGGGAGGAGGGAGGGAGGGAGGGAGGGAGGGAGGGAGGGAGGGAGGGAGGGAGGGAGGGAGGGAGGGAGGGAGGGAGGGAGGGAGGGAGGGAGGGAGGGAGGGAGGGAGGGAGGGAGGGAATGCAGACACCAAAGATATAGAGGGCTTGGTGAACGTCGTCACAAAACAATGCGAAACTGGCGATCTATAGGGCCAGAAAATGTGCAATTGAAGGAAATGGCTCATCGAGCCACCGTCACATCGTCAGGGCCCTGATTTATGCCGGGAATTTGGCTGGAATTTGGCTACGCTCAGTTGGCGGCGGGGGGTGGGAGGGTGTTCCATCCTTTTTGACGCGTTGGGCTACAGAGAGTGATCTCTGTGTGATGTGACTGATGGCTGGGATCGAGCTATGAGTTTTTTAGGGTGTTTTTTTGGTGTGTCTGTGAACACAGTAGTACACTATGGGAGTTATGTTACACGGGTAAAAGGTGTAATTAATATTTGTTGTGTTTTTTTTTTATCAAAAAAGGGCAATAAAAGCCAAGTGCCGAATAACCGAGCATGTATTTTTGTTTCGTCTGATCGACAAAAAAGGAGGGAGGGGTGCACTCGCGGGGAGAAGAGGTTTCCTTTGTGTGCTTAACCAGGGAAGCCTCGCCAAGTTTGAAAACACTTACTAAATTGAGATGATAATAATAATAATGAGAGAATAGTAATAATAATGATAACTAGCACTGCCCACGCATTTGTGCGAGATGCACGGCCGGTGTTGGTGGTTGGTGGGGGCGGGACGTCAGCGTGACGCAGGAACACGGCTCAACGCGGTTGGACGCAGGTGACGTCATCACGCAGATGTGCGCGGTGATGTCACCATCGTGCAGAACTAGCACTCAGTGCACCAGCCAGCCAGCAAAACTTTTTTTCTGACATAGTATGATAGAATTTAATCATTTTCAAAAAGCATTGCTGAATCTCAAGATACTCTCTTTCAGCAGGATACTGCATTGGGATAACAAAGCAATTTGTTTATTTAAGGAAGGATTGGTGAGTCTCAAAGACTCGTTTTTAAGAATGTCATAAGCTGGAATTATAATTATGTGATTGGTTTAAGGATTTAGCAACACAGCATTGACTCTCAGGATTCATCTGCATTGAGATAATAGTATTTGCAATGATCCAGATTTATTTTTAAGTTCGGCCACGTTGTAGTTTTTTTATGCCAAAACATAAACGAAGATATTATTGATACGTGCCAATGCATTCATAACATTCTGACTAATAAGCTGACGGATCACGACAAACAAAGCACATTATCGTTTTGGCCCGCAGACACCCCAAGAGCCGAGTGTAAAAAAAAAGAAACGCTAAAATGTCTCTCAAAACTGTAGCACCTTTTTCCCACCAGAGATCACACCGACACTGCTCACGGCTCCTCTGTGTGGGTGGGCGCACGAGGGGGAGGGGGTCACGGGGGGAGGGGAGGGTGGGAGCACTTGGGCCTTGAGCCGACGGGTGCAGACGTACCCAGTGATGGTCCCAGTTGGCCGACACGATCGCGGGTCCCAGCGAGCGAGCAGGGTTCATGCTGGCGCCCGTGTATGGGATCTGCCCAATAGATGTGGTTGGCGGAGGAGAGGGGAGCAGAAACGGGGGGGGGGGGCGGGTGGGGGGGTGGTAGAATGGTGTCAGAGGGTTATGGGGGGGGGGGAGTTCGTTATAATTCGTGCAGCTATTGAGTGTCCAGGCAGTCCAACTACACTGAGGTAAGGCCCACTGAGCTATATAGCTCATTTTCAGAAGCAGCCTGGCCACAAATGACAGCTCAACGAAGTGGCTTATCACGTGGAAATTTACAGCACCCAAACACTCGGAATGCATGTCAATTCTAAATGTGGAGGGAAAAACCGGACGACCCGGAAAAAAAAAAAGACACGTGGCAATGGGGGAGACCACGCAAACTCTAGGGTCGGGAACGAACCCACGGACTCCTGCATACCAGGCGAGGCAGTTAACATCTCGCCACCGCGGCGCCCCACAATTTGTGTAGGAGAGCACCCAATGTTGGGAGGCGAACGACGCATCAATCTTGGACCGCCGTCATTCTCTATCCACTGCCGGGCGAAAACATTCCCAGGGCGACTCTGTCGCCACCCACTCTCCAACACAGCAAGCCTCTTTCTGCGCGTGCCTCAGATGGCATCGTTATACACGCCCACGGTAAACCAGGTATTCTCTGCCGAGGAGACAATAAAATCTCGACAGGCTCCCGATGTGTTAAATATAGGCACAAACTGACCAAATCACTCAATCCGCGGTGCTTAAGTGGGAGTGCACGCTCGTTCTCACGAATGGAATTCTACAATTGCTTTTTCGAAATTCGAGTTTATCTGCAACCGTCACTTAACGTTGAGTACAGAACTGTCTTCTGATCGCTTGATTTTCTTTTTCCAAGTGAGCACTATGCCCTTTTTGAGTGATGGTGTGGGGCTAAGGGTGCCACGGTGGCGAGATGTTAACCACCTCGCCTGGTGTACGGGAGATCGTGGTTTAGATCCCGACCCTGACGCCCCCTCGGTCACGTGGATTTTTCTCAGGGTCCTCCAGTTGTTTCCCTCCACATTTAGAAACATGCGTTTAGAGAATTTTGGCTGCTATTAATTTCCACTTGATAAGCCACTGCGTCGAGCTATCATTTATGGTCAGGTCGCTTCTGAAAAATAAGTGTGAGCTTTAGCTGGAAAAAAGATACAACATTATTTTAGCTGTATTTGTATATATTTTCAGTGATTTATTTACCTTTCCTATGCTTTGCACTCCTATCGTGTTTGTGTACTCATTGTTGTGTAACATTCTGACCCGCCCCTACCAGACGTCTGTGAAAAGAGATCTTTATAGCTCATCGGATTCCTCCAGTACAAATAAATATTCTGATCCATCGACGTGCCGGTCGGCATGGCACGCCTTTCGAGAACTGCTCGCCTCGCTATGTGCTATCATTAAAGATGGCCGAAAATAATTTGCATACACCATATGGTGGGGGCCACGCGCTAGTTGGCGGTAAAGATTCACAACGTTTTCAGGCGGTGCTCCTGTTGTATACCGTGGGGTGTCGTCGTCGTTCATACAAATTGCATCTCCCGCTCACAAATTTGCCAATTAAGATATTTTCAGCCAGTTATTGAGTGTTTATGCAGATTGGGGGGGTGGGGAACCAGAGCATCCGGAGAAAAGTCATGCACGTGAGAGGAGCAATACCCTATCCCATACGGAAAAAGGACGGATGATATTAGTCCACGCTTTGCCGTACCGCCTTCTCCTGGCGAGCCATTGCATGGCGCCTCGACACCCACGGGGAGCTACGCAAAACACGTGCGTAATCCACCAACCCTCGCCCGCACAGTGCCGGTTTACAGGCGCGCAAGAGCCACCACAGAAACTTGAATCGCGTGAGGACTGTACGCAATTTCGCTGTGTGTGCGGCCCAGAAACACTTGAAGGTCAACAGGTGACTCAGCGCGGTGGGAATTAGGGGGACACGGGGCGTGCTGCCGGCCCAAATTGATTCCCCTCGAGTATCCAATCAGAGCAGCTGCGACGCTCTCGGTGACAGATAAATATCGGTTTGCGGGACATTTCAAAGTGTGGCCGTGGGCCATAGGTTTCCCCACCCCTAGCCTTATTGTAATAACAATTACAACAATTGTGGGTGTAACGATCCAGGCCTCCTCCCCCCGCGCTCGGACGCCCGCCACATCTCTGCCGATTCACCGATACGTAGCGGCCTCTTGTGGCTTCAGGGGTCATGCGAGAGCACAGCAAACGCACGTCGTGTTCGAATGAAAAATAAAACCGCGCGGTTCTTAAGACACGTGACTTGACGCCCATACTGTGACGGCTCTCTGGCAGGGGGCGAAGCTCCGCTCTCCCGAGCGATTCCGAACTAACGCTTCGTCTCGTGACGCCACTCCCGTTGGCACAAATGGGATTAAAAAAAAATAATAATGTGTGTGAAAGAGGACGACTACTTTCGTGTTTAAAGAAAAAAAAAATCATGAAGCCCCATGCGCGTGCTCCGATGTAACACCTCGTTTAGATTCGCACGTGGTGCGGGGGGGGGGGGAGGCGTGGGGGGGGGGGGTGATTGGAAAGGATGGCGAGTTAAAGGGGCGCGGTGTGGGGAGTAGGACGAGGAGGGTGGATGGGGGGAGGGGGGTAGGGGGATTTGAGGGGGAGGTAGGATGAACCGCGGAGGAGTCGAAGGAAGGGAGATTACCAGTGGCCGCTTGGCAGATAAAGGGCAAAATCGAGCGGGTCGGTTACTAGGATGAGACGTGATGCTGTGATCGCACGGGAAATTAAGTGCCGGTGCTCTCCATTCGGCGCTCGCCAAGAGGGGCGAGGGGGAGGCATCGCCAGAGCCCTCCCTTCCGCCGGCTCCGGAAGCGACAGGCGGCTAAATGAACTTGAGCCCAATTGAGCAGGCGGCCAAGTGAAATTGTAATCGCCTTGAATGGATTTAGACCGGTCCGTTAGTAATGTCAAAAAACTGGAATTTGTCAAACGTTACTTACTCTTTATTTTTCCCCGCCCAGCGGACGGCGTTTAATTGCTTTCACCGTGCACGCAACTATCGATCGATTTGATCAACATGCAAAGTATTGTAATTATGACTGTAAGCATCGATTATGTGCGTACATTGCGCGAACGTTTCTCTCACGTAACTCGATGCACTAAGCGTCGCACACCACCGTTCCAGCCCTGTAAGCAAGCGCCACCGAAAAACCTGATCGTCCACAAATTTCACATTTTCAACGGCGGCACGGGACCATTTCCAAGTGGCAACTTCTCGGCGCATTTCCGCAGAGGCCCTGACCCCCCTTGACCTATTGCCGGTTTCACACCACCTCCATGCGAGGGACATTGGCGATAGCTGTGAGCACCTCTTTAGTCGGCCAGCATGCTAAATCAGAACACCCAGAGTCATCATCATCACCACGATCCATGGGCAGATAGCCAGTAGGTGTCCACTGCACATTTCGTAATTAATTTCCACTTTCCTCTGTCTTGTGCCAATATGCTCAATTAGTGCCACATCTTCCTGGCACCAATCTGTCGTGTCGTCGTGAAGACATTCTCCGTTAGGTCTTCCTTTCTTTCCGGTTCCTTCCATTTTTGTGAACAACACACGATACATTTTCCTCTTGTTGCCCATCCTACGTAGGTGTCCAAATAGTTATTTCTCATCACTGCCTGCATCATCAGGTTGTCTTCTTCTATGTGCAACCTTTATCTTCAATGTTAGTCACTCTTTTGGTCCAGTATCTTTCTGTCGCTATACATATCGAATGCTGATATCTTATCTCCGTTTTTCAATGTCCAAGTCTCGCAGGCATACAAAGCTGTACTGATGTTCTTAAGATGTTCAGTTTGGAATTGTAGCTAATTTGCTTGCTTCTACAGATTATATTGAATCCTGCCGTTACTCCTTTTGCCTCTGCAATCCACGCTCTTGTGTATTTCTGTTGGTACACCCACTATCGACGGAGTGGCGGACAAAGGAGGGAACACACAGGGGAAGGACATCCACGTTGGAGATGGAATAATAGAATCGGCTTCCATCCAGTGCCTGCACCCGAAATTATTTAATCGCGTGTGTCCTGGTTCTCGGCTGCCACTTTGTTATTAATATTCTTAACCGTCGTCCATCGAACCTACTGATGACACGTCCTGCCCAAGTCCATTGGCTTTTATGAAACTAATTCTGGCGGGGATGACACCCGAAAAAGGACAGAGGGCAAACTCTGTCGTACGTAGCCAACCTAGCAGCACGGTTGGCTACGTACGGTGCGAAAGAAGTTCAACGTACATACACGCATACCGCCCAGTCAAACTGAAAAACGTTCAGCTGGCAGGACTGAATAAAAGCCTCGTCTTCACTTAAAACAAGTGTTATCATTGAGTGTTGGACAAACATTATCCCCCTTGTAGGTTCATGTGGTGTAACCTCCTCTTGGAACGCATATTTGTTTTTGTTTTTAATTAGACAGCAAAGGCCAAATAGACACTCAAGTGAAAATACGTTTTAAAATCCTATGAAAAAGAGAATTACTTTTGTTTTAATTGTCTTAAAAGGTGCAGACATTTTAAACACGTGCAAGTCACTCCCTCTGATGCTTATGTTTCCTGAGAGCCCTAACCCGGATGGAAACGGCAGTCGGGCTACTAAAATGAATTATGCTCATGGTGTTTTCTGGGTAAACTTTCGCTCAACAAATTGGCGTTGTGTAGGAAGGGAACGAGGCCTCAGAGGATCTCTAAGACTGTCGGCGACCTTGGACCGTATTTGATCTGCGACCGCATTTGCCACCAGAACCACATAGCGCTGAGTCTCATTTGGACACGTAAGCGTAGCGACCGAGGACGCAGGTATTGCACCTGCACCCAGGCGCAAGCAGGCAGAGGGGCACAGGCGCCGGGCTATGAAGAGTCAGCAAAGTCGGAGGTGGGGGACCCCACGAGGGCCCATGCCAACCACACTACGCCACGCCACTGATTGGCGCCGGAAGCCACGGTGACTAGGAGATGTTAACTACCTCGCCTGATGGGCAGGTGGTCGTGGGTTCGATCCTGACCCTCATGCCTGCTGCAAATGTGGAGTTTGTATGTTCTCCACGTGGTGGCGTGGATTTTTCTCCGGGTCCTCCAGTTTTTCCCTCCACATTTTGACTCAACATCACGCGTTTAAGAGTATTTGGCCTCTCATAAATTTCCATGTGACAACCCACTTCGATAAGCCAGCAGGCCCGCTTCTGAAAAAGAGCTATGTATAGCTCCAGTGGGGGGGGGGGGAGCCTTTGTAAAACAAAACAAAATAGTTTCTAGGTTTTTTTAATTAGCGGGGCGTCGCTTACCGCGAACAGGTGCCCCGCTATCACCGCCACCCCGACGGCGACGGAGCCCGGGATGCGCGGCTCCGGTCGGTTGGGGTCGCACGTGGAGAAGACGGTGAAGGACAGGAAGAAGGTGATCATCATCTCGATGAGCAGACCGTGACCCGCAGACAGCGACTTGTGCAGCTGTGGGGGGGGGGGGGGGGGCAGCGGGGAAGGGGAACACGTGTGTGTGAGTTGGGATGGCGTGCGTGTGCGTGCGTGCGTGCGTACGTGTGAATATATTTTGCGGGGCGTGGTGGCATGGCAGGTCGTCAGCTCGCCACGCTGGGAACGGTGTTCGATTCCCGGCTCGCGACGACCGAATAACAGTGGCGAACATCCTGAACCGGTGCTGGGCCTCAGCTTGCAATGAGTACCTGGTGCGGTGTGCAAACGTCAGCACTGGGGAGACAAAGGCGGCCGGGCATGCTGCTTGCTACACCCACCCGCTCGTTTTCCATGGTGGCCTCAATAGGCGCTCGCTAACAGCACTTGTCCCAACGGTCTGTTAAGGCTATGGGGGGGGGATCTTTGTATTTGTAGGTTGTCATGGAAGGAGTTGCTGTGTGTGTGCCGACATGCAGTTACATCTTTGGCATTTGGGGTGCAGTGATGCTGCGAGGCAGGCAGTGGGGGAGTGCGTGTTCCAGCAGGACGCAATGTTGGTGGTCAACCTGCAAAGCAACATTCCACGTGGCCGTTTTTTTAGTTTTGCCTCCAACGTTAACCCCCTTTTGCTCAGTGCGCGCACACATATATACACGATAGTCCTGGCTCACCCAACTTGTACAGGGAACTTTTGTCCATCCACTGTTGTTGTAGTGAGGGACCGTCCAACACAGTGCCGGTGATGGGGGGGTTACCTGACCATACTTCACCGCTTTGCTGATCAGATCTCACCGTGCCAGCTGGTAGGTGGGGAGCATAGTTGCTGGAGCATGGTACTGTACAACAGTAGATATTTCAGCACTATCCTCTGTCACCACGCTGCAAGCGGTAGAACCAAATGCCTTCATCTAACACTAAACTATGTTTTTATTTGACCAGATAAGGCCCACTTGAGCGATACAGCTCTTTTTCAGAAGCGACCTGGCCACAAATGGTTGTTCAACGAAGTGGCTTATCACGTGGAAATTTTAAGCAGCCAAATACCCTAAACGCTTGTTTATAAATGTGGATGGAAAAACCGGAGGACTCGGAAAAAAATCCACGTGACCACGGGGAGAACATGCAACTCCAAATATACAGCAGGTGTCAGGGTCGGCATAGAACCCACGACCTCCTGCATACCAAGCGAGGTAGTTACCATCTCGCCACCATGGCAAGACAAAGATCCCCCGTATAGTCTGAACAGACTCTTGGGGTAAGTGCTGTTAGCGAGCACCTATGAAGGCACCACACGCGGCCGCCTTTGTCTCCCCAGTGGTGACGTTTACACACCGTACCGGGTGCTCAATTGAGGCCGAGTCGACCAAGGGGACGCCCAGGGCCGGTTCAAATAATCGTCACTGGTGTTGGCTGTGAGCGCTAATCGAACTCGGGTCTCCGGGTTCGTAGTGAAGCGTGGCACCCATGGTGGCACCTATGCTGACACACACTCACACGCACCGGGTGACTGATATCAATTCTAATGATCTTGAAGTGAAACCAAAAAATAGGAAAGCTGAATTTGCCCACACAAGTACAGCACAGTCGAATCTGTTACCCTATAAAAAAAAAAATAGACCCGACTTAATTGTAAAACAATGGATTTTGTGGTGCTGCTCTACAGTCTACCTCGTAGGCCCACAGCCTGCAACAACCTGGTTGTCAACGGTATTATTTGGTGATTTCTGCATTGGCACTGGTGCACAGGCACGAGTAACAATAAACTCTACACATTTGTCAATAACACCGTGGTCTTAAAAAGAAAACCATATATATAATAGATGGCGTTTCAGCCAATGGGCCTTCTTTATAGCACAATAAAAAATGGTTTAACGTGATGAAGGGCCATTGTAGCCTATTTATGAAATATGTTACCTTCAAGGCCACAGTGCTATTGACTAACGTTCTGAGGTTGTTGTTTGTCCACAAAGGTGGACCCATCAAATCATTACCCAGGCTCAACCTGGGTAATAATGTGACAAGATCTCATGGGACGGTTCTAGGTGATTTCGTCAGGGGACACTTTCCCTAGAATACAGTTCAGTGGTTGCTGGCTCGTACGGTATTGTAGGTAAGCTATGCAAAGTACAACCACATCCTCAAGCTGCGTTGTACAGTCCTGCACAGATCAAACACGGCAATGGAACGCGTCTTGAGCAGGTAAGGCTTGGTTTAGACGACAGGCTGTTATGCTTCATTACAATTATCTTAAATAATACAGTAATAAATCATCAATGGCGCCTCCTTCGCATAAATAAAAGTATTGTTTTACACATCCCACACAGCCTTCCGAGAGTATATAATTTCAGCAGCAATGGTTCAGGCCGAGCAACACTCTGTACTGATTCTGACATTTATTGTCTCATCAGCAGAGTCAGCCTCTTCTTCGAACCAATGCTGGTGAACTGGACCTTCTCTGTCAGATGTGTGTCCCTAGATGGGCGTTTGGTAAATCGCTAACTAAACCCTGCACATCACTAACCACTGTTTGTGATACTGCGTTTGCAGTGGTGCACAGGCAGAGATAACGAAAACGCAATAATCAATAACAACGCCAAAACTAAAAAGGACAAAACAATATATACAATCGGGGACCTCTCCACGAAAAGGCGCTTCTTATTCTTAGCAGAGAGACCCCTCAGTTATTGATGGAATGTGCCGAGTTTATATACACAAGTAGGCAATAATGATATCTTGCCTGGCCTCTTGCCTAGTGTATAATAATCACAAAACATGTACACCCCTTTCTCAATTCACTGCTGAATGAAGGCCGACCCACGCTTGCTCAGTCACGGGAGTAGTTTGGTTATACTTCACCCCGGTTAATCAGTGCAGGCGAGCAAAAGTTTTGGGAGGGCAGCGTTGGTTATCAATCGCCGCTGGCGTTAGACACGACTGGTGATCGAACGCCGGTGACATTGCACCTTCTCGTCGGCTTAAATGGTGATAAATCAAAGTAAATCTGGTTGCGTTTAGACCTGATTGAATAAAGAGCATCGGCCGGACCTGGTTAAATAAAGGTGAACATTGAATTGAACTGAGCTCGGTTACATAAGAGTAAGAGCCATTCAGTGACACTGTTCACACGAACGTGTCTCAAAACCCATTAAGATGTATACGGATTCATGGCAACCCGCAAGGAGACAAAGTAACTGGAGCTGCCAACGAACGATGCAATCAATCAGGCGCTTAAATAAAGCGTGGGCTCGGACAGGCATTGTTCTTTTACAAGGGCGACGTGGAAGAAGGTAATCTAGCGTGCGGGAACGAATGAAAATCCCAACGCTGCGCGCCAATAGTTTTTTTCCCTCGTAAAAGATGGCTCGGAAAAATCGTTAAAAATATGTGTTTAAAATAGAAATCACGTGCCGCGTTGTAGGAAAATTAATATTGAAACTATACAAGGCTCGCGTTACCACAAATGAATAAAATGCAGTCTACAGTTGAAACGATTGGTTGAATTAATCGACTAAAGTTGTAATTGATTATTTTGTGGTCGATTAAAATTTGGTGGTCGCAACCCACATCTGGCCTCCAGAAGGAGGGAAACCCCCCACAATCCACACCCAGCGCGACAGGCTGACTGTGCCGATGACCTCTCCATGCCCCCCGCCCGCCACCTCCCGTCCAGCGGCACAAGTCGTGAGAGTAATCGTACCGATAATCTGTCGAGTAATCGATTACAGGACTCGAACACAGCAATCAGATAGCCCAGCTCTTAATTTAGTCCCCCAGCACCTTTGCGCCATTTGGGCCAATGTTTTCCAGGAGCTTTAGATTAAACAGAAAACTCCAGAATAACTTTCGACCTTCCCACTACGATCACTTTTTTGCTGTTGTTTAAACCACAGCTGCTGAGCACAGCCACAAAGGCCAGATTAGTGACATAGCCGGTCCATGACGGGTGCGGAGAGATTTTGTGCCAAGCGTATTAATTGTTTTACTACGGACAAACATTATCACTGTTAAACGGTAGCAGGAACTGTGCAATTGACAGTCTTACATGATACTGTCACTGATTGGGTGTTTTGTTGTTGTTGAACATGATCAGATTTTTGTAACCAAATCGAGACTTGGATTCAGGTCGGTGGGGATTGACAGTGAAGTATATGTGCGTTAGGCAGCTAAATGTCTACAACTCTCAGCTTGTTAGTTAAACAAATATGATGCTTGGAGTGTACTGATATCTGCAAATGAGTGAGTGGAAGACGAGAAGGCAATCATAAAGATAAGTAATATTGTAGATGAAACAGATCCTTGCAGGATTGCAGGGTTGATGGTTGAAGGTGTAAGATTGGCTTAAAGGAGCTAAGGGGCCACGGAGCCGGTCCTGATTTTCACGAAACAAAGTATAGCAACTCAGAGTGATTGAACAGCCGATTGTTAATGATAGCTTCCATCACTTTGCATAGATCTGAAGTCAAGGTGATCGGATGATAATTGCACTTACAACGTGGATAAAATTTATTTCGGAATTGGAAGGGCACGAGATAATTTTCCAAGCCGTCGGCAGAGTCTGCGTGCCGCCCGAGAGCTTGAAGAACAGAGAAATCATTCCTCCAGAAGTTCCATGGGACGATACAACCTAAATGTCACTCGAAAAGTAAATTGTGGCGACTAGCTTCACAGGCAAGCTCGGGTCCATACCTGCCCACTCGCCTCAATAAATGAATGACGGACTGATTGGGCACGCAATCCTCACTTTCTTTTCACTTTGCCCAAACACTCACTCTCTTGCGCTCTCTCTATTCTTATTGTTTCATTCACGGATGGATGGGATTTTTGATTAGTTTGCTGCCACGCATTTCCACACGATGCAAGCCGCTTTGTTGACTCTATCAGGTCCCATAGAAAATATCCAATCCCATCTCCCACCGCCCCTCCAACCCACACCACCACCCCCCACACCCCGCCCCTCCCACCCACACCACCACCACCCCACACCCCGCCCCTCCAACGCACACCACCACCACCCCACACCCCGCCCCTCCAACGCACACCACCCCACACCCCCCGCCCCTCCCACCCAAACCACCACCACCCACCACCCCCCGCCCCTCCGACCCACCTGCGTGACCGCCATGTCGCCGCGAGCCTCGGGCGGAGTGACCGCGTAGACGAGACCCGCCGCCGTGACGGCCCCCACGCACTGCGCCAGCATGTAGACCACGGCCTTGGCCAGCGTGATCTTCCTCATGCACGCCATCGCCGCCGTGAGCGCCGGGTTCAGGTGCGCGCCGCTCACGTGGCCGAACGCGTGGGCCGACGCCGCCAGGCTGAGGCCGAAGGCGAGGGCCGTGCGGAGGGGGTCCGAGGCCTGGTCGGGCCACGGCATCGCGGAGCCCAGGGCCAGCATGAGGAAGAGGGCCGTGCCCGCGAACTCGGCGGCCACGCAGCGCCAGAAGGCTTGGGTCCAGACGCCGCGGAAGGCGGTCATGGCTTAGGCCTGCGTGTGAGTGTGACGCGTGTGTGACGTGTGTGTGTGACGTGTGTGTGACGCGTGTGTGACGTGTGTGTGTGACGTGAGTGTGTGCGGTGTGTGGCATATGCATGTGTGTGATTTAAGTGTGATGTGTGTCGCGCGTGTGTGGTGTGATGTGTGTGGTGAGTGTGCATGGTGTGGCGTGTGTGTCGTGTGATTGTGTGTGATGTGTGTGGAGCGGTAGTGTCGCGGTTAGCGCTACGCTGCAATACGAACCCGGCCACCCTCGGGGTTCGATTCCCGCTCACGGCCAACACCGGCGACGTCTTTCTGAACTGGTCCCTGGACTCCCCTAGGTTGACTCAGCCTTAAATAATTACCTGGCATGGAGGAATTGAAAAAAACACTGGCGAGACAAAGGCGGCCGGGAGTGGTTCTGACCACACCACTCTGGCGTGCTTTTTCCCGGGGCCTTGAAATAGGTGCTCGCAAACACAACTTGTCCTGTTTGTTGTGGACTTTATTGACCCCTAACATGGTTTCCCCCTTTTTGCTTAGTCATTTCTGTTTTCACATCCATTATGCAAAAAAACATTACGTTTTGGAGAATAAAATTGCGGATGGGGGGGGGTCACAAGACATCTCGGCCACCCTCTACAATATACACACGTGGGAGGAAACTTGAGATTCCGGAATCTCGACGTTGCCCAAGGTTGTCATTTAGTTTATGATTATAATTATCCCTCTTTTTTTGCTCACTTTGCGTGAGGGTCCTGCCAAGTATAACCCAAAATGGGTAACTTTTGCTGGGAATTTTTTTTAGTTAAGTTTGGCGACAAATTATTCGGAACGTGACACCGTCACACGGGAGAGTCCTATTGACGCGAACGCGGTCACGGCAGCTTCAACATCCACTCTTTGAAGCAAGGTTACAGCAGGTCGGCCGAATGTAACCGAACCCTGAATCGCCAGGGCATGTCACGGCATCTCGAGCGCACAATGTTCCGCACAGATGGATTCAAGGATAAGTTTTGCGAGACGATTCCCACCTATGGCCACCAAGAAGCCCAACGTTCACGAAATTTACACGCGTGTTTCTGTCAAACATAGCCCCGACCGCGCAGGTTATACTGTATCGTCTTACACAATATAGCATTGTACTTTAATTGGTAATAATCACATGCCCCTATACCCTACATACATCAAATACACACGCCACATCATGATACTATAAAATTACAAACCCTTTCAAATTCTACAACCTACAGGTGCCTGTCGGTAACAAAACTCATTCTTTCTAGGTCCAGTCACATCCCGTGACGATCACATCATGATACTATAAAATTACAAACCCTTTCAAATTCTACAACCTACAGGTGCCTGTCGGTAACAAAACTCATTCTTTCTAGGTCCAGTCACATCCTGTGACGATCACATCATGATACTATAAAATTACAAACCCTTTCAAATTCTACAACCTACAGGTGCCTGTCGGTAACAAAACTCATTCTTTCTAGGTCCAGTCACATCCCGTGACGATCACATCATGATACTATAAAATTACAAACCCTTTCAAATTCTACAACCTACAGGTGCCTGTCGGTAACAAAACTCATTCTTTCTAGGTCCAGTCACATCCCGTGACGATCAGCACATAGTCTCCTTTCTCAACCGGTGGCAGCAGGCTGAGTCAGCTTGCTGTCAGCCTCATCCACATACTGCACGGGAGGCTGATTAACTAGGTTCACCTGCGATGGAGATTGTAGTAAACGTGTAAGCATTTAGCACGGGGATTGCATTTGTGCGTTTGACAGCCTCACAGCAATGCGGACAGCATTTTTTTTGGTTGCCCCTGCCCTGAGTGTAACCCAACTCTCCCTCCTGGCAGAACATTTTTGACGGCTAAAGATGATAACGACGAACTTTAGGGATCGTTTTATTTCGATTAAGGGCATAAACTCGACTCTATTTGTGCTAAGTGTCAGCTGTCTATCAGATGCCAAGAGCGTCTTGTATGCTCTAGGGACACGTTCCATTCCTTGGCTTCATATATATACATAAGCACGCCTTGCTTGCTATATTATTAAATACAACGTTTCGGTCGCGAGGCGCAGGGAGGGACGGGACTGACGGTGACATCCAAAAGGACGTGTAACACGTTGCGAGCATTCATCACAAAGAGGTCTCGCGATGACGGCCGAAATATTCGAACGCATAATTCCAATAATCCCTTTTGGTGAGCAAAATAATCGTCGACACATTTTTATTTGTGTTAGCAAGGCCACCACCACCACCACCTTATTTTCTCGAACTGCGTTCGGGTGACGTTATTGTTTCATGCGTTACATCACCCGTCGGTCAGCAACGAAGTGGCTGTCAGGGAGCCATGTTAGGACACCAATGGAGCTATTATTGCACTTTTAAATAGCCCAGGTTGAAAACTCATTTCTTTAGAAACCGATTTTTGTGTCGAGTGTTGTTTCCCTTTCCCCGCCGCGCCTACGATAATTGTCGCGGTGGGCTACGTACGCTGCGAAAGAAGTTCAACGTACATAAACATCTGAATGTAATCTTACAGGTGACACACGGTGTGTGTGTATATATATAGCTATATACAGGAATCGCATGGGTGGAGTTTGGGTGGTAGGGGGGCAAGGAGGGAGCTGTGCCCCCCCCCCTCTTTATACATTTGTTTTCAGTAGTAAAAAATTAAGATTTCAAATAAATACATTATATGCCCCCGCGATTCCTGTGAAGGACAAAGTGAAATCCTGCCCCCCCCCCTCCCAAATATAGAAGTCAAACTCCACTTATGAGTACCGGTGTATACAGGTGCTAGGTACGTGTTCAACAGTTCGCGTTGAAAACATCAAACGTACAGAAGCATCAAACGTCCAGAAGAGACGCGTGGGTTTTATTTTATTATTCCTACCTGGCAGTTGCTGTTGGTGTCGTTGCTTAAATAACGTCTCGCTTGCCCACGGGCGACTGGATAGAATCCACCTGAGAGCCGGAACATATATAGACGCACCCACCCACCCACCCACAGCAGCCCCACCCACACACACACACCTGTCTGACGCAGTTATATCGTTTGAAGGGGAACGGGTTGAAGCAAACACGCGGCTTTTAAAAAAGCAGGCTCATTTTGGCACACGGTATCCGGCAAAACCCGTTGCTCAGTTTTTATTTTATTTTAAAGCACAGGGTTGGCGAAGAAGCTTCCCAACGTGCGGAGCGAAACGTCGGACATCTCTTGTCGGGAGGTGTACATTACCCGCGATGACGTCGTTCAGAAGCGTGGGCATTTCCCAAAGGAAATGCCGAACAAAGGAGTGGCCTAAAAAGCATGTAACTCAACACATTCGTCTTTCAACACTCTTTTTCCTTCAAAGGAAACAAAAAAATATATAAAATAGGTGATGTTGTTGGGCAATGGCCCTCCTTAATAGCGCATGATTGAAAGGAAATAAAAACCACCATCGCGATGTTCCCGCTTGCAATCACACGAGGGCACGGAAATATAACTGCTGCACGTTGGAGAAGATCGTATTGGCTGTAGAAAAGTGGCAGGAATCGTCACAGGATTGAATGACGGCTGGGTGGCCGAGATCTTCACGACGGAGTGGCTGTCAGAGGAGTGGGGAGGCGGGGTGACACGCCCAGAAGGAGATGGAGCGGATTAATTCAACTCGTGCGCTGGAGGCGGATGCATCGTTGCAATCGCGAGGGATGGCGACGGATGAGTGAGGCCCTTCATCCAGCAGTGGACAGATCATGGCTGACGAAGAAGCATGCATCTATTTCAGTGTTCTTCACTAATTTTCAGAGGTGGCCCATTTTGGGCGAGAAGAAGACATCAGCATGTGTGCGCGAGGGCCGCCACACCATTTGAAACCATTGGGGGTTTGACAGCAGCACGACGATAATGATGATGGGGGGATGTTGTCACGATTTGTGTATTTTCGGGGGCCGCACATCAGGGGCCGTACTGAAGGCCACCAGGGGCTGCCAGTGGCCCCTGCGGGCCTTGCAATGGAGAACACTTGTCTGTTTGATCGAACATTCAATTCGGATCGTTCATATACGACTGTTGTTGTGGTGGTGGTAGTTCTGCTGCGTTTGGGGCTGCTGTAAAATTGCCATGGGAGTCACGCACGTGACTTGGGGGAGAAGGGACCGCAAGGTGTCTCTCGACTGTTCGCAGTTACCATGGGAAGCAAGACGAGACACGCTTTTTGTCTCTCCCGTCTCTTACACGTGCACTGTAAGACACCTAATGGGTGTGTGCTAATCGGTCACATATGCATCACAAACGGTGACATTAATTGCGTCGCACTATGGACCCCGTGACGTGTTATTAGAGCCTATCCGATTACAATTTTCAGAAGCACTCCAACCTCATCTTGGTCACCTTTTAACTGTCCACATTTCACCTTCAGAAACTGCCCGTGATAATACTCTTTCTGGGTTCTCTGGTTGTGTCCATCTCTTTCTTTGTCCACTGTATTCCTCGCGTGTGACAATGGCTACGTTCATCTGTGTGGCAAAATGCTAATCGGATAAAACTGATGTATTAAAAAGCAATACAGCTGCTGATTGCTCAAAAATTGCTATAAGGTCTTCAAATTTTATTTTACGTTTCCATAACTCTACTTGCCCCAACTTCCTACAGTTAGACTCAGGAGTACAACATCTAGTACAAGAGTGTATGTGATAGTTTCTAGCGGGAGTCGCAAATCCCGTCTTCTTTATTTGTTTTTCGCTTTAGGCCAAGTGGTAGTTTTATGATAAAAATTATTGTCATTAATCCTCCACCAACCGACAAGATTGTCAAAACCTGCCACCCGAACTATGATGCCAATTCCCGAGCTGTCCGTGTCGACACTAGACCTGAGCTGTCGTTGCAGTGATATTGCGGTTGTCGTTTGGCTGTGCAAGTCGTGATTGTGGCAGCGGTGGTGGTTGCTAGAGCGAACTATGATCGCATTGTTGCAGTTTCAGTTAGTTTTATCCCCTCGCCAGGCAGGGTTACTTACGTGATTATTTATCAAGAGGAGCCACACTGAGTCGGAGGACACGTTTTGTCAGGAGGGTCCTGCCGCTTCATTGTGCTTGTTTTTAAATCTCAAGGCGTTTTCAGCCAAATAGTTTTTACTTGTGGGAGGAAAACGGACCACACCAGGATAAAACCCCATCGCGGCTGGCTACGTACGGTGCGAAAGAAGTTCAAGACACATATACATTTCATACTATCCCCGTAACGGTGGAAACAGATGGCGATGAGTCCACTTAGTGCATTGCCTTGTCCTGGCGAGCCGGGGCGTGGTACCGCGGCGCCCACGGTAAGGGAGTTTCTCGCAAACATTTGCGCGATTCGCCAACCCTCGACCTCTGCGGTGCCGGGCTTCTCCAACCTGCGCTGAGCCAATTGTAGTGAAGTATGGTCACGCAACCCGCCCCTCTCACCCACTGCCTCGACCCCCTGCCATCGAGTGTGAGCAAGAGTACCCCGATAAACCCCACGTTCAAAGCTCCGCACGGGTCTCTTAAAAGGCTCCGTCGCTGTTAACTGCCATCCCCTGGCTGCCTCGCAGCTCAAGCTTACAGATTACCTGGTAGCTCCAAGCAGTCTCCCAATAAAGAGTTCTAACCAGGCAGGAAGCTCCTGCTTAGCTCCCGAGATCTGCTCGAGATAGAGCGCCTGCAAGGTGACTTGACTCCGTTCACGGTGAGCTATAAACTTCGTGCTACGCACCACGCGTGGGATTTTCTGCATGTGGTTTTAAGCACAATAATGAAAACACTAAATTGCGCGATAAAAAAAAAACTTTCTGCAGAAGACTGGAAATTAATTGTACGTTTCCACTCTCCTTCCAATATAATTGAATCCTATAAATTATTGTTCGGATGAGCACGCTTCCGTACGTGAATAATGTATCATTGTAAGGCATGCATTACCATAGATAGTCATCTAAACTGGGGGGGATTAATGCAATTAATAGAAAAAATTCCAACGTAACAATCAAGCCGCATAGATTTCGGAGCAATCAAAATCAATCCTAGGTCTCCCTTGAAAAAGGGGGAAATTTGGTCGCAGCGGAATTTCCAACGTCGTCCAATCCCATCGCCTGCTTCGGCGTATGAGCCGTTATCATCGCTGCTACTCCGCGGGGGGGGGGGGGGGGGGGGGGGGTGTTGGTCATTTCGGGGAGCAATTTTCTCCTTTGGCTGCCATTCGGTGACCGGTCTCGTCCGTGGGCCATCATCCCTTCTTGCGCGACGTCTTCTGCCCCATCTCACAATCTAATTTTTTCTCGTGAGAGTCGGCTGGACATCTCGGTACTTGCATTTGCTGCCTGATCCGATATGTCCTTTGTATCACTTTGAGATGTTTCCTTTTATAAATTTAGCACTTTCATAAATGAACGCTGTTGGTGCTGTTCCTCTGTCTCGGTTGAATTCCAACCGTGCATCTCTCTATTAAATCTCGACTTTCAGCTTTCGTGACTGCAGGAATTCATATTCTTGGGTCTATCGGTAAAGTCACGTAGATAAGTTCAAAGAAAATAAAAAAAACTACGACGTTTCGATCGCAACACAAGCAATCGTCATCAGGAGAAAAAAAAACGATTACTTGTGTTGCGATCGAAACGTCGGAGTTTTTTGTTATTTTTAGTTATTTTCTTTGAACCTATCGACGTGACTTTACCGAAAGACCCAAGAATATGTCAACTCTCTATTCTTCTGTTTGGCACATTTAATATTTTCTTATATTCCCTTTGTCAGTATCCACGTCTCTGATCTGTATGTCATAGCTGGCTGTTCAACTCAAAGAAAATGCGCACCAATTGAAAACTTCAGCAACAATTGCATGCTGCTTCTCGTGATGAAATTCAGTTTTACGAAAGCATTGCATCGAACTCTTATTTGTCTTTTTATATAACTAATTCCCCTTGGTTTATATAAGGGCAAAGATCCCCCGTATAGCCTTAACAGATTGTAGTGCAAGTGATGTTAGCGAGCACCTATGAAGGCCAGAACGCCACACGAGGGGGTGGGTGGCCAGCACCACGCAAGGCCGCCTTTGTCTTCCCAGTGTTGATATTTCCTACACACCGTATCAGGTACTCATTTGAGGCTGAGTCGACCTACGTACAACTATACATGCATACATTGCGGTAGCCCTCACAGCAATTACGTGACTTCACCGTGGTCTTTAATATAGGAACCATGCTTCCACATCTACCGCTTTCCCTCCACCTTCAAAGACCTGCAATGGCCAAGCGTGGTGGAGTGCACACATCACGCGAAGCCCCCATTCACTTGGGGGCATCGAGGAGGTGCCATAACCTGCTGGCTGAGCCAAGAAAATTCCGGTTCAGCACGCGGAATAATCTCCACCTGCATCCATCTGTACGGGGATAGAGCGTTGCCCCCTTTCGCAGGCGTGAGTTTTCTCCAGGTACTCATATTTCCTCCCACAGGTAGTGTAATACAATAATAATTATAAGTATATTTTGATCTTTGATCAATTGGTACTTATTAGTATTATTAAATAAGCTTTACGACCCGCACAAGCATTGGGAGGAAATTCATCCAACAAACATCGGCTGTATAATTAAGGGAAAATGTAATGTCATTGATTGCGTTGGAACGCCTTAACAGGAGTTACATAACCCGTGTTTCTATGGAAATGGCCGGCCACGCCTTTTGGCCAGGTCTATAGGGTGTGTTATTTTTTAAGCCGAACCGGCCAAGGAAGGCTTCTTGTATATGTTACGTGCATTACAATTTGCGTGTATGCGTTGCCCGATGGGGCGTTAAAGCCAGAGCTCGTGGGTGGGAGCATTCAAACACGAGTAATTGTAAGTGGCATCGCTTGGCATAAATGTGTGCTGGCGCTAAAGTGACTCCTTATTCTCACCTAACCGTGGGAATTGCAAAAGCCCACGCACCAACAAAAATGCCGGGCTGGATTTCAAACAAACACTGGATTTAGAATGAGAGTACAATTCAGCCATTGGGAATAAACACATATTTAATCGTAACATTTTCAAGATATGCTTCAAAGCTCTTTGTCAATCCGCTGCTGTATTAAGTCCCTCCCCGTGTAATTGGTTCCGAGCAGGTTCCAATATCGCTTGCCTCATGGTTTTGACTCGCGACGGAAGTTCTCAGCACTCCCGGGTTTAGGTCGCGCTCTTTTGGTGATCAGGCTTTAATTAGCGTGGCATCCAACTATGGAACGCCTTGCCACTTGAAATCAGGCAATCGGAGTCGGTAGATACATTCAAGTCTGCTTTGAAAACCCATCTCTTTAAACGGAGCCTTCCCCCCCTTGAGTTTGGTCGGTTACCCTTGTTTTGTTGTTTCCTGATTTTGATGCATTGCGCATTGGGATGATGTGGTGGAATGCGCATTATACATTTGAATTATCATTAAAGTTTACAAAGCATAATCATGAAGCCGTCGTGAGAGCCTCTGCGTCATAAGAATAGCACGAACACCAAACGTCCATGTCCACCCTACTTATTAATCTAATTTTGCCGCGGCAGCTGGGAATCAAACTCAAAGTGGCTGGGTTCATTTGCGCAATTCGCTAACTGCTGCAGCATTGCCCCTGGGGTTTTCTCTCTCTCACTCTGAACTGAACAACATTAGCCGTGCTCAATACGTGGTAGTCGCCGATCGCATCGGTAACCACGTGCAATGTGAGAAATCGTAACTTCGCACGCTTCAGAGACGGCGGAGCTGTGGAAAATTTTCTCGTTTAAAGCTCGCAGAGCAAAGCCACCTTCTGCTCACGGCTCCCACGCTCGCACAAAACTGCCACCGCCGTGTCGTGTTGCCCGCGCCGTCCTAATGTGCGTTTGGCTCACAGGGTTGTATTTTTTTGAGCTGAACTTTTTAATCCCACCTTGTTCCAAATGCATGGTCGGAGTCAATGGACGCAATTTATTCCATTCGAAGTCAAGCCGTCGGCCCTGACTTTCGTTAGCTGTCCTTGACTCTCCAGAAACAACAACGAGAGATTAGCCAAGAGAAGGCATCCTGTACTTTTCCAACAAGAGGCTTTTTAGTGGCAATGCAGTCGTTTTATTGAGGAGCCCTCACAAACAGAATGTAGTGCTCACGTAACAAGAATGTGGGACCTCGACATTATTACGAACTGGAAACAGCACACGACCAAGTCACCCCGGATTTGTTCGATCTGAACGGACCTCAGAAGATAAGCAAGTTTAGAGCCTGGTTTTTATTTGCATGTGAGACTGCCTGAAAATATCAGGCGTTGTATTTACGCTTGAACTATTTAGATAATTTTGCTGTTGTAAATGTCCAAATGATAAACCACTTTTTTGAGCTATCATTCGTGGCCATGTCGCTTTTTGTAAAATAAGTTAATACTTCAGTGGGCTTTGTCTGGTAGGATGGGGATGGTTTCGTTTGATTTGTTTGTGTTTGGGTGATTTGTTCACCTTTTTTGTACTTTGCACTATTATCATGTTTTTTGTATTGTTTGTTGTTGTAATGTTTTTACCCGCCCCGACTGGACATCTGTGAAAATAGCTTTATAGCTCATCGGATTCCTCCAGTATAAATACATAATCTGATTTTGATATAAGTAAATATTCTGAACTGCACGGTGACCAGTACAGCAATCTATCTATGCCGAGCGTTTTCTAATACCGCCTGGTATTGTGTGGATTTCTCTCCGGTTTCTTCCCATTCGAAGCCAGGCACTCATCAGTGGAATAGGCCAATGTATCAGGACCCTCCAGAAAAAAAAAATGTGCTGTGACTCATAGATATCAAAGCGATGTTAACCCCCACTTTAACCCACCAAAGAATACTCATACACCAGCATCATGGCATTATATCGTGTGTGGCAGTACCGTACAGTATTGTAGAGTTTGGGGTTTATTTTGGCATACCGGTAATAAATAACCGGCGTTATTAAATAAACACCTTATCATACCTGACATGAGTAATTACCTTGAAACTCTCTGTTTTACCACTCGAGCACATGCACATACGGACCCACATGAACAATACTGATCGGCACACCGTACATACGTAACATCTCTTTATTTAAATGATGCATGGTATTGTCGTAACTTATGTATATTAAACAAGACGGGCGGGCTGAACGCAACGTTTGCAAACTAGGTCTTGTCACACACACTCCACCCGTGTGTGTGTGTCTGTGATCCGTTAAGAGCTGGTGCCGTATATATCGTCTTTTTTAAAATTGTGCACTCCCAATACAATAAATATGGGGCCAAACCAGGGCCTTATTTATTTCAGCCGGAGATGTCTGGGGCTGAGCTCTGGAAAATATTTTCCGCCTCCCCCCCACCCCTGTCCACGCCACTGACCACCTCACGGTGGAAAATCTGGAAAATCTACGAGATTGATTTACCATGATTTCCATTGTGTTGATGGAGTGCTGTCACCAATTGTGGGTAACCATCAGTATTTGTTTAACACGCCTGACACTGCTGATGAGCCACACAAGTAAACCGGTTCGTGTGTAATTCGCTTACGGAACCGTGGCCTGGAGTCAAACTCGGGTAACCAGATGCATTGCGGTGAGCGCTAACCATTGCAAGCATGGATCGACTGTCGTATGATTTCACTGCAATCATAATGGACGGTAAATCTACTTTGAACCCAAGAAGACAGACACCTCTACATATGCATATGACCTTGAAGAGGGGCACCAGTTAAAAACAGCTGTCCATTCTTGCACACGAGTTATTTTCGGGTGATGGAGGTGATTGAGGTGCCCGGCGGTGTTGTGTGGTGCGATTGGAGAGGTCTGCCAGGCCGCATTGCGTGAGATTATCTGGGCGGCCCTGTTTGTTCATGGGATTGCTTCTATGTTAAGTCAACAAGGGATATGTGTGTGTGTCAGGTATAAGCGCTTTAATGAATGCCACTGCGGTATCACAGGTGTAATCATCATTCAGAAAAAAAACATCGTGAATAGGAGAATCGTGATAACATGATGATCATTATCACCATGAGCAGCCAAGAGCCTCATAATAACGATCATTAGGACCATTAATTATCATCATGTTCATCACTATCATCATGATCATCATGAGTGGCAAATCTAATCTTTGTTATCCATATGATGGCCATAACCACAATGAAAAGCAAATGCCAATATCCAGACTCATGATCACCATCATCATCATCGAGAACAGCAAAGGTCATCATCACGAGAAACAGAGGTCATCGGCATGATGATCATGGTCATTTGTCATCATCATCTTCATCGGGCGCATCAATCGTCATCTCCCTAGCGTTAATTTAAATGGCACTTACATGGAACAATGGAAGGAAAGAAACAACTCGAACCAATAAAACTCAATGACGCTCGTCTTGTAATCCACCCCAAGCACATACTCTGTACACAGTGTATATGTGTGTGTGTAAATGAACAGTGCGTGAGGTCTATCGTTAAACCTTCTGAGTGGTGGGATCTCTCCTCTCTCGATGTGCACTATTTGCAGCGGGGGCCTATATTTTGACCGACGATACCCAACCCCCGAACCAGATTTGCCACAGTAGACGGTCCGGTTGGGGTCAAAGCACACCTGCTATCTTTTTAGATTCGTAAATAATGTGCAATCGAATGCGTCGCACGTACACTGAGTGCGTAGTTGAACGATTCACATTTTGACGCCTACTCCCACAGCTCCAGTAGTCAACGTCAGTGGGAAGGTCGCTTCTTCTTCTGTGCTGCACCCCCCCCCAACGGACCCCCCCCCCCCTGCACGAAAACTTCCTCCCAGCAATCCATGCTGTCCACCCCCTACCTCTGTTCCAAGTCCAGGCTCAAGTCCTTGCTTGGCTCTTCTGCCTGTAACCGACTACCCGTTCTCATATATATACACAGTATATATCATATTTTTGTTCATGCGAAACTGATGTCCCACTGCCGCCGTCTTGGTAAGAAGACGTGAATCTCGAGAGTTGTTGTTGTTGAACCGCAATTGTCACCGCCACCGCTGTCCGCTCGTCGCTGCTTCCCCGACGCGTGAATGCCTGCCGCACGACACCGCATCTGCCCGAGCCGCGTGCTCGCGGGCACGCGGCTCGCGAGGCCGCGCGGGCTAGTAAATGTCGCCGAACGGCTTGGAGTAGTTGAACATGATGTAGTCCAGGTAATAAAAGTCGTACGCGCGTTGCCTCTCCCGCCTCGACAGCGCCGACAGGTATCTGCGTCCCATCGCCCGGCCGTCCTCGCCCGCTGCCTCCGTCGCCGTCCCGTCTGCGGCGCCGGCGGTCCAACCCCTCCCGGTTTCCTCCTCCCGGTCGGCACGGTCGCCCGTGCCCGCGCGTTCCCCCGACGGAGGCGTCTCGGGAGACCCCGCGGCTTCTTCGGCTTCGGCCGGCACCTGCGCCACCCGCGCCTCGCCTTCCCCGGGGAACGTGACGGCGTCCGGCACGCCGACGGCCCGGAGGAGGTTGTTGGCGTCCCCCTCCAGCTCCTCGAACTTGCCCACGAAGTCGTAGGAGATGGCGCACGGGTGGCAGAGGCGCGTCGCCGCCTCCCAGTGGATGTCCATGCCGAGGGGGCGCCGCGGGTCCAGCAGGTACCGCAGGAACTCGCGGAAGGTCACGCCCTCGCCCGAGCGTAGGGCCTCGCGGCTCGCGTTGGCGCGGTAGCGGGCGAGGATGGCGCGGCCGAACAGTGGCTGGTAGTAGGGGTTGGGGCGCTCGAGCTTGTCGCGGAAGGCGGAGACGAGGCGCTCCAGCGGCTCGCGCACGAAGAGGACCTGCCGCGGAGAAGCGGCGGCGGAGCCAGAAGCGGCAGAGGCGACATCAGCAGCGGCGGCAAGAGATGCAACAGCAAATGATGAATTGACAATTAATTCAGGGCATCAACAACGATAGCGCTGCTGATCAATAAGTTAATCGCCATTACACCTTCGACAACAACCACATTTAATTCATATGTGGTTATCCAACTCTTATCCAATCTTGATTTGAAGCTTTCGTGACTGCAGGAATCTATATTATTTGGTTCTTTCGGTAACGTCACGTAGGTATAAAATTATCCACTCTATCTTATTATCAGCTCTATCTGGCCTCTCTACATGCTTCGAAGAAGGGTCATTGCCTATAATATATTTCTAATATTAAGGCCACACAGTCTTATTGACGGACGTATTGAGCTTTTTGTTGTTTAATGTGAATGGTGCTTGTGCACACACCGCTCCCAAGGCAGCAGCATCAGCAGCATCACCAGAAGTCCGTATCCGTGGAAGTGAGTCACTCAACAAACAATTCGTTGGCCGGTGTGGGATGCTGCTAAGGTCCAGTCCAGGGGTCGGCAAACCCGCGGCTCCTTAAGGACCGCTCCGTGACGTCGTTTATTAAGGTCCGCCTTTCTCGTGTTCACCACGCAGTGCCTTTGCGGCTCTTGAAATAGTGAGTTACCGGCCCCCACATACAATCTGTCAGATTTGTGAGTTCTGTTCCCAATCAAATGCGCAGCGGTGGCTGGGAAATGTTAACTCCCTCGCCTGGTGTGCAGGAGGTCGTGGGTTCTATCCCGACCTTGACGCCATCATATTTGGACCACAATAGAGGGGTTTTTTTGGGGTCATATTGGTCGCGAAAGCCTACGTGTTAAACTGCATATTTGGAGTTTGCGTGTCTCTCTCCCCGTGGTCACGTGGATTTTCTTCTCCGGGTCCTCCGGTTTTTCTCCTCCACATTTAGAATCAACATCGCGCGTTTAGATTATTCTGCTGCCACTAAATGTCCACGCGACGAGCCGCTTCGTTCAGCTATTATTTGCGAGAGCCAGGTCGCTCCTGAAAAAGAGCTACATAGCTCAGTGGGCCTTACCTGGCCAAAGGAACAGAAAACATTTCATCGTCACTTTTCAGAATCCCAGCACGAGAGGCCGACCGCCTCGTCGCGACCGACGTCCGCCTCTCTCGCCATCCACCCCTCCCCCCCCCAACGAGCGCCGCCCCCCACCCACCTTGGTGTAAGTTGCGAGCCGCCGCTCCATCTCGGCGCGCCCGAAGCTGTCGAGCCTCCGCAGGCCGTTGGCGTAGTGCGCCGCGTCGTGCGCCACCTCCCCGGCCCTGCGCGCCGCTCCACTCAGCACCATGAGCAGCCGCTTCCAGTTGGTGCAGCCCACCTTGGGCACCTCGCAGTAGAGCAGGCGGTAGCGGTCCTCCACGTAGAGGCGCGACACCTGGCGCGGAGACACGGGGGCCGCCGCGCCGCTGCCCGCGCCGCCGACGCCGTAGCGCGCGCACAGCTGCGCGATCTGCGCCCTGCGCGCCACCTGCGCCTGCGCCGCCGCCTCCGGCAGGGCGGAGAGGTTGAGGCGAGGTTCCCGCGGGGCGTCGGGGCCGAGTCGGTGCGGCGGCGGTGACGGTGGAGGCGGCGACGACGGCGATGACCGCGGAGAGCCATGAGGCCTGAACGCAGCGTGGTTGAGAACGGAGGCGGCGGTGGTGGTGGTGGTGGTTGTGGTGGTGGTGGTCGAGGAGGTTACGTGGTCGCGTGACATTGCTGCTGCCGCCGCTGCCGCCGCTGCCACTGCTTCGTTGTCGAAGAGGCGCGATGGATGGGCTGCCGACGAGAAGACCGAGGAGGAGGATGAATTGAAGGTTCCAAGTTCTCGGTTGAGGAGCTGCCGCTTCTGTGCCGCCGCGTTCACGGCCACTCGGGCCTGGGGGGAAGAGAGGGCGGCCGAGGAGCGAGCGGGGAGGCGATCGCCCTCCTGCGAATCCTGCAGACGTGAGAGAGGCGGAGGACACTCGTCGTCGTGGTCCTCGTCGTCCTCATCAATGGCACCATCATCATCCAATCATAATCATTATTTACTTTCAGTGATCACCATAGTCATCATCATCATTCGGTCCCATCGTTGCCGCCGTCATCATCATTCAATCATTTATCATCAAAGTTGTTCGATCACAATCGTTCATAGTCACCCAAACATCAGCTTTCAATTATTCCTCTTCATCATCATCATCGTCACAAAAGATGGTGGCCACATCGCGCACTTTCAGATGCGCTCCTGTGGCCATCTGAAACGCTCTTCCTGCCGATATTAGAAAGCCATTGGAGCTAATCACACTTTTAAATCATCAAGATTGAAAACCCATTTCTCTAGAAAGGCTTTTTGTGTTTAGTTTGTTGTCCTTCCCCCGCAGCTCTGATTAGCACGGTTGGCTACGCACGGTGCGAAAGAAGTTCAACATACAAGCATACATACGTCGCATCATGATCCAATAGAAGCCTTCACAGCGCTTTGTTGCACGTAAATCCGTGCCGCCCATCAATATGAGACGACACAAGGCTTTCGACGAAATCACGGATGTGAAAATAGACTGCGCGTGTGAATAACGAATAACCCTCTCACAATTCTAAATTGGGAAGGGAATGCGCAAAGTCATGAGACCCAGCACACGCTGTGCCCAATGAATCTTGACGGCGAGACTCGATGTAATCATTCAACTACAGAACAATACGCACGTAATTCAACATTACATATACATGTGCGTGAAAAAATACATTCAATCGCTGCTGAATGTGGGCTTACCCACGCCATGTCAGTCGCGGGGATTGTTTGACCATACTTCGCTATACGCTGGTCAGTGCGAGGTTGGTGATGTAGGTATGGCAGCGGTCACCCACCACTGATGTCACCACAGCCAGGAATGTAGCTCAGGGGGCCGGTTCATCGTGTAATGTTGATAAGGTGAACTACCTTACCAACATTACAAGGTCCTCTTAAATTGTCCTTGCATTGTGAATCCTCTGCGCAGTTGCATTCATTACACATTCCCATATATTACACATTCCCAAATAATGAACATGCCCATACATTACACATTCCCATTAATTGCACATTCCCATACATTACACGTTCCCATTCATTACACGTTCCCATGCATTACTCATTCCCATACAAAACCGCCACGGCTTCTGGAGTGAGACTAACTATGGAGCAGCAGCCAAAGGAGAGCACAGAGAGTAACAAAACACCCCGTTACAATTTATTTTTGTGGCCAATAACGGTGAATTATATGATTACCGCTTGACATGTGTGGAGTTATGAAATAATGAACTCGAATTAGCCGTGTGAAATGAATGGTTACAGCCAACGTTGTACCACCTTAAGCGGCACCGATTTCTGCTCTGGCCCACGGGCTAATTGTTCATCCGATGCTTGGCGAAAATGCCTACCCACGCTGCATGAAGCACAGGGCACTTGTTCGACCATACTTCACCACGCTGGTCGGGTTGAGTTGATGAAGCGGTTGGGGGCAGAATGAGAAGTTGCGTGGTGGGGGGGGTATGTGATGGAATCGGTTGCAGCCGTGGCAGGGAATCGAACTCAGGTTTGCTGGCTTCATTTGAGACCGCAGGGCCGCACGTCGCTGCAAGCGCCACTTCTCACGCTTACTGCCACCTCAATTTACCCATCAACATTTGGAGCAGCCGCTGTTGCTTATCGACATGCCTTGCCTCGAGAGACCAATCCAGCCGGCTGCTATTTATTTATCCCCCCCCCTTCCCGCGCTCTCTCGCCTCTCTCTCTCTCTCTTCCCCGCTTTTAAAGTAAACACGCGACGAGACTCATTGCGTCAATTGCTCAATCGGCCGTGAATTCACGCTGGTGCACTTTAACGGGGGTGGGGGGGGGGGTAGTAAACGTGCGGCGGTGGCATGGAGTGTCGCGTCGTCACGGGGCTCCCGTCGACGTCTACAGCGAGGGCAGCAGCAGCAGCCGCAGACGTTCGCAGTTTAAAGGGCAAAATCTTAAGTGGGCACGCTGCCCCCTGTGTGTGTGTTTTTCTTTCTTTCGCGAAGGGAATTCGCGGGTCCAGAGCAAAAAATAACTCTGCCAAGCACCCCCCCCCCCACATCCCCCCCCCCCCCCAAGAAAAAAACGACCCCACCATAATTTTTAAGTCGGTGAACGTTAATTTGGAAAGAATGGTAATCGCTTACTGACACTTTGTCAATCCACTGCTGGATGAGTGCTCCCTTCCCCACGATGCATCAGTGGCGGGGATGGATTTCATTGACTGCTTCACGACACCGGTCAATGGGGGGCCGGAGGGCTGGAGTGGTGAAGGAGAGAGAGCGAGAGTAGATGCTGGCGGCATAGAAGTATTGCCCATTGTTGGCCGCCCCAGCGACAGCCTATAACACCTGTTATGCACGGTGCTCACCCATCCAGGCACCGTCCAGCGGATGAGCCAGCCAGAGGGCCAGGTCGGATATCACACGCCGCTGATATTGGCCACGGCCGCGAATTGAACTCGGGTGCACGGTGCAGTCCGTTAACCACTGCGCCACCGCTCCCCCCCTCCCCCCCCCATTTCTAAAATGTAATTGTCAAAAAAAATCCACAGTTGCATTAATTGCGCCTTCTCATAAAAAAAAAACCCACCAGCGTCTGTTGGGGTGAGACTGACTAACTGCGGAATGGCAGCCAACGGTAGAGAACAAGACGGCGGATTTTGCCCTGCGGCAACGGGTTCCGTCGATGTCTGCACTGCTGCAACAGACAAGACGTGAAGGTCAACTCCTCGAGCAATGCAACAGATTTATTTATTTTTTTGGCCAGGGCAGTAAACGTGTGGGTCGAGGAGGGTGTCGCGTCAGGGCAGAGGGACCGGGGGATGTGGTGGAGGTCCGAGAAGACGGCCCGAAACTTTCGCACCTCCGATGAGCACGGTTGGCTACGCACGGTGCGAAAGAAGTTCAGCATGTCGTAACGCCGTGCGAACCGCGCTGTATTTGCTTCAGTGCGGTTGACGACACTTTTTTGGTGCTAATAATAGAGCCGTGCTAGTTATTTACACAAGAGAGTTCTCGGTTGAACGTGCTTATGTGTACCCATAAAAGCTGTGGTTTTTAATGCGTGCATTCATTCTCAAGTAGACAAATATTGAACGGGGTAATTCAACATTTCAATTACGAGGGGCTCTTTGTTTAATAATGCCTTGTATTTATTTGCACGTGCAAAATTCTCACCGGCTCGTAAGATTAATATCCCTCTGGTGGTGTCCTGCGTCGGGATGTCTCGACCGATACAACGCACACGCACGAGCGGTTTTACACGCCCATCTCCACCACAGATGGATTCAAGAATACATTTCTTCGCACCGCCGTCTGCCCACCTCGCGGCCACAATAATTATGGAGGAGATTCTTCTCGAGATGCTGCGGCAAAGTAGTCTGGGTGTTATTCTTGGATCTTTCGGTAAAGTCACGTAGAAGGGAAACAATAAAATAATAGAAATATAAAACAATACAATTCTCACGACGTTTCGACTGCAACACAAGCAATCATCATCAGGTGTGAAAACCACAACAAGAAAATTTGAAAAAAGTGGCGGTTATTTTTAACGTTAGCACCACGGAGAGCGATTTCACAGTTTGTTCACATGGACGAGTCCATCTATGTTCGGAAAGAGGAGGGGGGAGACGAAAAATAATGGATGCGGTCTGAAAGCCACCTTAAGCGTGATCAATCAATTAAGACCCTAAATGGTTTATCAAATCCTTCCAATGATTACTAAGCCAGAGTCCATCTTCTCGGTTGAAATTGTCTCTGCGTTTGTATATGTGGATAGCCTCATGAACGAATCTATCATGGTAGCCAGATGGCTTGCAAATAACCTCTGTCTTGGAGAAGTCAATGTCATGTGAACCTACTGAATGATAACAGTGATCTGCCAAATCGCTATCCGTGGTGCTAAGGTTAAAAAAACCCGCCACTTTTTTCAAATTTTCTTGTTGTGGTTTTCACACCTGATGATGATTACTTGTGTTGCATATGAAACGTCGTGAGAATTTTATTGTTTTATATTTGTATTATTTTATTGTTTCCTTTCTACGTGGCTTTACCGAAAGAACCAAGAATATGAATCCCTGCAGTCACGAAAGCTTTAAATCAAAATTTAGTCTGGGTGTGTTTGGTTTTTTTATGAATTGCGCTGGGCTCTTTCCGCCAAAGATTTGCGCAATAATGTCCCATTGCGCAAGAGAGGCGACCTCGTTGTTGCCGAACGTTACAGTACGAGGCGCGGGTGGCGATGATTGAGAAACCGAGGAACGGGTGACTTCACTTCGCCCAACAGGAGCTCGGATAATAATAATCTCGGCCAACATCAGTGGCCGTCAGCCAGACTGTTGGCGCAGGCACCCATCATTTTGCTGTTTTCATATTTTTTGGGCCTGCAATCGCGCCCTGGATTCTGACCCCGTGGTTTACGATGCAGTCGTTATCCACTCGAACGTCGGGACGCATTGATTAATCGGTGAATGTTCATTGTGTTTCCATTCATGTACGTTGTACGGATTGGGTTCACGTCACCCCCCGCAGCCACTAGAGGCGCTATCATGAACTCAAATGTTCAAACAAAAGAGTTTACTGTACTTCAATAGAAGTCGCGACCATGAATTGCAACAATTGATCGAATTAACACGTAGGCGCAAACGTAAATGTGTCGTTAAACCCGCCACCACCCGACACAGCCAACTAGTAAGGTTTGTCAGGTAAACGAATTGGCATGTTCTATTTGCATGACAAACCTTACTAAGCGGCTGTATTATGAATTGATCGGATTATTAGAAGTGGGGTTGAATTGTTATCACTCATAATATACTGGTCCCTACCATAGGAATATGGACTTTCCACCACTGGCTCATGACCACCAATGGAGATGAACAAACCCCCACGGTGACTTCGTAGTTTAAGCTTCAGGAC